AACACTAAAAAGTGACCGAGGAATTAAAAGACAGGGACTGCTCGCAGTCTAATCAGCCAGTGACCATCGATTAGTATTAATTATGAGTGAGCCAAAGTAACTTACCGAAATTCCAGCCAGCATTTGTTCAACTCTTTCGTCTAATTCAAAGAACGATGGTCTGTCAAGGGGATTTGCCCTCCACGTGTCTAACATAAGTGCATACCTGTAGATATTAAAAACAACCCAAACTTATCTTCCTCTTTGTTATTACCATAAAATAATCCAACCTAGTGAAGACAAATAGATTGATGAATACCATTGTTGCTTCATTCAAGACCCAGACATCACTAGTATTCATCACTAGGTTTGCAAATTACAAACTTACACATCATCGTCACAATCATTCGGCTGTTCAAGTCGGTAGCCTTTTTTGATTTCGTTCAGGATGTCCATACCACTATCCACACCAGCGTAAGGTACAGTACCTGCATGATGTCACAAGTAAAAATATAATATTAGTATATGTTAAAACAGTACCGTAACCGTGTAAACGTCGAGAGTAAAAACCTGCTGTTTCGATCTCCCATAGAGTGACGCCATATGACCACCTAAACAGGCACAAGAAGAAAGACAATGTTAGTGGCCTTGATTTTGTGTATTGTTCACAATAGCAGTATTACTACTTACACATCGCTCTTTGATGTACAAGTATAGTCTTCAATAGATTCAGGTGCCATCCATCTAACTGGTCTTTTACCCTGAACCAAACAATTGAATGTCAGTCTTTGAAGCTTGCCTGAGAAACAATGCTCTGGAATGGCATTTGAAATAAATGCAACTATTCTACTATAGATTATCTGTCTTGAGTACTAGTTAACGAATCTATATTTACCCCCTTCACATCTTCATACAGTTCACTTTCATAGATGTCACGTGATAGTCCAAAGTCCGATACCATGGGAATCAAGGTTTTTCCAAGTAGCACGTTTCTTGCAGCCAAATCTCGATGTACACACTGAAATAGTGTTGAAAATCATCTGTCTTACTCAGCATCATTAAGGCATGGCTCTCAGATGAAAAACTG